TAGGCACCCATGTCACTTACAGATCATTTTCTACTTGTTGAACCCTATTTTTCAGATTTATAGTAAAGTCAAGAATTCAACTTTCAGAATCTTCCTTTAGATTGTGATAGCATAATTATGGCAATATAGCATTATATATTTACCCTAAATATTGGACTCATTAGACTTTACTGAAATTATCTGCTTATTCTTTAAAAAAAACAAATAAACAAAAACATGGTGGAGGCTCTTTGAAATGAAATAATCTTATTTACTTCTCAGAGATCTTGATGTGATTTATATCCATTGAATGAATACATGGATGGACAGAGCAAAGGCAAACAGGAAGGCAGGAAGGAAAGAATTGATTCTGAGCTGAGATCTTTCCTTCAGTGTTTTGTGATAGACTGGCAAATATGTAAATGAAAAAAAATGCCAAGACCTTAAGCTTTTTACTTATGATTTACTTTTATTCTGAAACCTGTTATAATCATCCCAGTAGATGATTGTAGACTTCCATAATTTCTATATCCTAATATATCTTTTTCTCATTATTCCTTCAATTTCATTTTTTTTTCTGTGCTCTAAAAAGACTTCCTAGAATTATATCACCTGATATGTTTGTGGCACATTCTCATAAAGATATTTTGCTTCATAAAGTACATCTTCAATGAATTCATTTTTTCTGAAACTCATTAGTACATTAGAGCAATTTAATGACCTCAGCAACTTTATAAATTGCACCACAAGTATTTTTTCCTATTGTGCTTAAAAATTAAAATACAAATTACTATTTGTATGTGCAAGTAAAACTACAAGGAGTAATGAAAACAGTATTAGACAGAATATTGGCCACTGAAGATGTCGAGGCCCCACTCCCTAAAGTTTGTGACTGTGCTACCTTTTGTGGTAAAAGATTCTTTTCAGTTGAGATAAACATTGAGGACTAGAGGTGAGAAAATTATTTTGGAGTAGGACGGTGAGCTCAACTGAATCATGAATTCTTAAAAGTGTAAGAGAAAAGCCAAAGAGAAGCTCAGAGAGACAAGGATGTAATAGAGAAAGAAGATTAAAAGTAATAGGATGTGACCCAACATTTGCTGGTTTGAAAGATGGATAGCACAAGGCAAGGAATGATGACAGTCTTTAAAGCTGGGAATGGTCCTTAGCTGACAGTCACCAAATAAGTAAGGGTCTAGTGTACTATAACAGCAAAAAACACAATTCCCCAAACCCTGAATGTGCAAATAAAGAAGACTCAGAAAGAAATCCTGTACCTCCTTAACACTGATTTTATTCAGGGAGACCCTGTATTAGTTTTATATCGTTATTATAACAAATTACTACAATCCTGGAGACTTAAAAGAGCACAGAAGTATTACTTTACACTTCTGTAAATCAGACGTTCAGTGCTGGTCTCACTAGAGAAGTCGTGTTGACAGGAGGTGTTCCTTTTTCAAGCTCAAAAGGAGAATCAATATCTTGCTTTCAGCTGAGGGATAGTCCCAGAGGTCACAGCTTTTCTTGGTTCATCCCCCACTTCTTTAATCTTTCAAGTTAACAATTTTTGGTAGAGTCCTTTACATTTCCCCCTCTTTTGACCTTTTCTTCTGACTTCTTCTTCTTTTCTTAAAGAATCATTAGATTATATTAGACTAGATTAGATTAGATTCTTTTAAAATGAGTTTTGTATGTCAAGGTTGTTAACGTAATCACATCTACAAAGTCCCTTTTTCCAAATAAGCCCAATTGCTCTTGTGAATAGAATGTGGATATCATTGGAAGACCTATTATTTTGGTTTTCATAGACTCTTCCTGGACTTCTGTCCTAAAGAACTATAAAATAATACATTTGTAAGGTTGAAATCCAATAAATTTGTGGTAATGGTAATTTGTTATGGCAGACATAGACAACCAAGGTAAGTACCAATAGCACTTTCCAGAAAATAACATCTATTTCATGCTTTACAGTTCTAAGAACAAGAATTATATATACGTGTCCTAATTTAGTCTTATAGTGAGCACTTTTATTAGCATACATTGGAAAAAAAAAAAACTAATGTAGAATTTCAACTACATATAGACCAAACACTTAGGTTTCAGAATTTGTTCTGGGTTTCATACCTGTCACTGGGTTCATTAGCAAGATACTTAGCCACTTTGACCCTTATTATGATTCCATTTATAGATAACTCTAATTCAACTGTGAATGATTAGGTCCAGGTCCCTCTATGGATAGCAATTCTGCCCACCACCACCCCCGCCATAAAATGGCATAATATTTGCATGTAACCAATGCACATTTTCCACATACTTTAATTTCTAGATTGTTAGAAACAATGTAAATATAAATGCTATGGAAGTATTTGCTGTACTGTACTGTTAGGGAATACTGAGAAAGAAATATCTGTTCATGTCCAGTACAGACACAATTGTTTTTCAGAATATTTTCAATCCATGTTTGGTTGGATCTGTGGATTCAGAATCCATAGATACAAAAAGTTAACTGTAATGGAATTTACCTCATATGTTTATTGAAGGTTTCTGAGGAATTATTTTACTAAAAAGCATTCATCATGATACTATATACATAATGATAATAATGACTAAATAAAAGGCAAATACTATTATTGTTATTTAGGGCAGAATGGTTAATCATTATTAAATAAAAAGGTTAATCTACCTTTTCTAATAGAATTCAACATTATCCGGACTTTCTACTCGTTTTGCTTAATCATATAGTAAAAAAAATAGAGATCCCATGTTAGACATGGACCAAGATGTAGACATTTATTTCACTGACTTATAACAGGAAAAACATATTTTTGAAGTTGCTAATAATTAAATAACTAATAGCAAACATGCATGTACTATATAAAATTACTACAAACTTTTTGTTTCATTTTATTTTGTTTTTTACAAGGATGTAATGGGATCTACTAGACTAGGCAGTGAGTAAATTGGAAAAAGGTTTTAGTAGTAGGTACTATTTGAGTAGATACCTGAAGAGTGAAAAAAAGTTTAGTAGGTAATCAAAGGTTAGGATGTTTCAGGCCACAGAGAGATGAACTGAATAAGGAGAATGCCAGACATAAGGACTTTGAAATTCTCACCAGAAACCCAAAGCAAAAGGCATCTTTGAATGCTGTTTTTGGACCAATGACTAGTAGAGATGGTTACATAAGTATACCTGTAAAATTACACACAAGCTCCTGTGTGAGGGCACACACACACACAAGAGAGTGAATCAGAAAGTTTACATTGTCCTTGAGAATTCAGGAAGAGAGGGTGACTCCAATATGTAATCAATCTTCAACTTAATCTACAGATGTTCTGGCATGCCTAAACCTGTGCATTATAATAATAGCTAACATATTATTTACATTCTTTTCATGTGTGTCACACAGTGTTAGAAGCTTTTCAATTGTAATTAACTTGCCCCTCACGACAATAATATAAGGCAGATTCTATTATTATATTCATATGGTACAGACATGTAGGCTAGAAATTAAGTAATTTGTGTAAGGTCACATACTTAACAAATGGCAGAATTTGGATTTAAGTCAGGTAATCCAACTCTACAACACACATCTCTAACCACACAGTATTTGCAATACACATAAGAGATACTTTCATAATACCAGATATGCTTGTGAGTAACAAGCTTCTGGGAAAAATTACACTCATAAGTGTACATTAACCTTCCCAACTATATTTTATAAGTTCAGTTGCAGAGTACCATCTAGTAATAACTGTCTATGAGATCCCAACAAAATATCTTTCTACATGTCAATCTTGAAAAGTGTAATAACTCTTCATGAACAAAGTTCTGAAAAATAATTGAAATGAGTCTGCAAAGCAGAATCCAGCCAGGTATTTATCATATGTGCATTTAGAGATTAGTAACTGAGACTGGAGTTCCTAGAAGAGGTTTGAGTATTCCTTAGGAGGTAAAAGTCCTAGGACATGGAGACTGATGGATGACAGATATAAAAGGAACTGTTGCTGTTAATGCTCATGTTTCCGGCTTGCACAACTGGGTCATGATCAAAGCTCTCACTGGGACTAAGAACATAAGAGGAATTACAGATTGAGCAGGAAAGGTAAATCGGATTTGGTTGGGTTGGTATTGACATGGTGATGAGACATGCAACCAGGGATGTCAACTTGCGTATATGTACTTAAGAGTCAAAATACAGATATAGCTAAGTAGATCACTTTGGAGCTTGTCAAAGTGCAGACAACCATGAAATGCAAATGAATAAACAAGATCCCTTGAATCGGGATATTGATTCAAGGAACAGAAGATAATGGAGGGACATGAAGATCTGAAGGGTTTTGTAAAAGTGAAAAGAGAGATGTCCTTAGAGATTAGAGGAAAACTATATCCTAGAAACTAAAGGAAGAGAGGTTTTTCTTGCAAATATTTTTCTGAAATATATAATACTCTAGGAAAATATCAGCCTATTGTGAATAATTTTTATGTTATGTAACAATGTTCGGTTGTCTTACCAAACTGAAAATCCAAATCTAGAGTGGCGAGTATAGAACTCTTTCTGATCAGGTTTGTATCAGATAGATGTTATAAAGCATAGCTTATCCTATTTTTCTGCTTCCTTTTGAGGATGGTCATAAAATTGGCATCATTGAAAGCTTGTGGAAATTCTTTTGTTCTCCATTTTTTGAGAAATCTCTTATCACTGCCCGGAAGAGAACATGCACAAAGGAAAACTGTTTAGATTATAAGCAGTACTTATCTTTTTTCCTAAAAATTGTATTTAATGTTTTGTTAGTCTTTATGATCTTAAGAAAGCTCTATGATAACTTTATAGATGTTGTTCTCATGCCTGTCAACACCTGTGACTTTAAGATGTCATCAAGGATGACAATTCTTTAATTTTTTCCCATAACTCTGAAAAGAAGTGGCAACTTCTTTAATTGTTAGTATTTACTGTACAGAACTTCATTAATTCATTTATCAACATATTTATGCAATAAGTATAAAACATATTGTGTTTCAGGCATTACACTTGAGCTAAGGACACAGAAACAAAGAAAAGAAGATGTCACTACACTGTTGGACAATGTCAAAATCTATGACCAGAAGAGGACTTCCATCTCACAATGTGTGTACATCTCATCCACATTTATAACTGGGTGATTAAAACACCTTATAATGTCTAGATTTATAATAGATGTGCTAGGATAATGTCCATCCCTCATAATCACTGGAGTCTTGGTTTGGGTGATGGATGGTTCTTATGTATTTGGTTTTCTACATCCTTTCAGCTTGGACTTTCTCTTCCATTTTGGGGGATAAATTGAGTAGTATTTCATGTGAGAACTGAAGTGTTCTACATTGTAATTTTGATGCACTATGCCCAAATCCTCTCACTGGAGAGAGGGGAAAAGAGGTATAAACTAACCAAGTGTCTAAAGACAAGAGTGGTTTTCTTGCACGTAGCAGTAAGTTAAAGAATTAGCACAAAAGAAAACAGGACAATAAAATACAAAGAGGCAGCCAAGCACATTGTAGACAAATAGTGAACTCCAGGGTTTATATCCTTGGCAAAGCAATTCTAAGTTTCAAATCTGGAATTCACTTCTGATAAGATCAGAGTGATAACAGAGGCAGGTTTAGTTTAGGATGGAAATAGTTATTTGTGTAAAAACAATAGAATGCTTAGTGCCTATCTTTTGGGAGAGCTGCTACACAGTTAATGGAAACAACAGATGGCTTAAAGTACCAGAAATCTAGTGGGAGAAAATAAAAAAGAGAAGTTGACCATGCCTTTATACTTTGTGTCTAAAAGTCTTTATATCAATGTCATATTATTGATACTGTTTGTAATATCCATTCACTTGCTCTACAGCTATTGGGTTATGGGTTATGCAATGCATAAATATATTTGCTGGCAATTCTAGATGTAATACAGACCTTGTTCTATAGTGGGATTGGAGAAGAATTCAGAAATATGATTAGGTGGATTGTGCCATCAATCCAGAGATAAATAGTCAGTAGATGTGAATGGTGCTCTTCTGGAGTTACCGGATGTGATGCTCCTGGCATTGGTGAGATTGTGTAATACCACTGTTTTGTAGTTGTTCTCTATCTTCCCATGTCTGCCATTTTGTCCTTTAGGATAGAAAAAAAGATATTTTTGCTTCTTTAATTCTGAAACTATAATTTGTTACCTTTAATTTTATATATTCATTTTGAGTAGACTTAAAAATCTATTGTGTTTATTCCTATCCTTTAATACTTGTTTTAGTCAGCTTTTTTACAGCTGTGACTAAAAAATATGATCAGAACAGTTATAGAGGAGGAAAAGTTTAATTGGGGGCTCACAGTTTCAAATATGTCCATCTATAGACAGGAGGCTCCATTTGTCAGGGTTCAAGGTGAAGCAAAACATCATGACAGAAGTGTGTGGCACGAGGAAGCAGCACACAGGATGATCAGAAATCAGAGAGACGTCTCTACTTGCCAGATACAAATATATACCCTAAAGCTACTCCCCCAATTCCCACCTCCTCCAGCCACACCCTACCACTTCAGTTACCACTAAGTTAATCCCTACGAGGGGATTAATCATTGATTGGGTTAAGACTGTCACAACCCAATCATTTCTCCTCTGAATCTTTTTGCATTGTCTCATATGTGAGATTTTGCAGGACACCGCAAATCCAAACCATAAAAATACTTAAAAAGGCTATTGTTCATATTTTTCCATGTTTAAACAGCAAAATGATGATACATACACTCATATCTACCATATATCCTTATTTTTTTAAGGATTACAAAATAGTGATTACTCAAATAGTTTATCATATATGCATATTATAAAAGGCATGCATTTTTATGGTACCATTTTTAATTGTGTCAGTACATAAAAATAGGAATATTCAAGTAGCATTTTAATATTTAAAATAATTCAGATCCTAATAAATTCATTTTTACAGAGTCTCACAATAGTATACCTTTTTGCTTGTGATTGTCTTTAATTAATTCAGCTACACTTATTAGTGCTCTCTATACTTTAATGTATATTTATATTATTCTTACTCATAATTTAATTATAATTTCAAAATTCTTACTGGTAAATAAGAATGAGTCCCCTATATTTCAATAGTACTAGAAGACACTCTTAAACTTGTCATATCTTAATTATATGAGTGAAAATAAGAAGAGAAGAGGGGACAATAGAAAGTAAATGTTATATCAGTGCTGAAGTTGGATAAGGGAACTGGGATAAGCTATAAGAATGATGAAACAATCAGATTTTAAGAATTTGAACTGTAATAATAACTTATTTTTGTGAGCTTACATATGGATACCAGTAATAGTTTATCAACTATCTCCTCAGAAATTTAACTATCCCCTATCTATAATTTGGCATCAGCTAGATAAATGGAAAAATAATTCCATATATTTAAACACTTGAGGTTTCAATTAGCAATGTCATAGTTACCTGGATGAAAGCCTGTGCCGTAGCTAACATGGACCCAGACAAGCAAACCCACAGGGGAAAATTAACTAATTGATGTGGGTTTTAAATCTGGAAGGCCATAACTAAATTTCATTTTGTTTCATTCATTAAAATTAAATCTTCTTATTAGTTTTCTAACTTATATGTCATTACAATAGTTCTGGTAATTCCAGTAAGATGAAGACAAAAATTACTTTGACTTTTGGAAACTGAACATTTAATGGAAAACTTGCTTCATTTGTTGTTCCCTGTGATATTCACTGATATGTGATGTTCAGAGACCTGTGCAAAGACAGAAAGGGTTCTTGCTCTCAAAATTCACACAGTAAAGCTTCCTTTGTCACACTTCTCATAATGAGGGTCCTTACTGCCCAATCATTCTCTGCTTGCAACTCAATTAAAATTCTGTTATCAAAGAAACATGTTTTCATTTCAAATATCATTCACTTGAGAATGTTCTTTATCTGTGGTTATATCTTTATGTTTTTAATTCACTACTATACTGCTTTTAGCCAAGTAGAATGTTCAGATTATCAAAAAAATAAGACTATATTTGTATTTATAACCATGTAACTCTTGATTTTGATGTCATAAAGATTTTTTTCCTGAACTTTCTTGAGTGATTTGTAGATAGTGTTTACAGCCTAAACTTCTTGGCAACATTAGTAATTTTGGAAACAGAAATGCAGCAATGATTTTATGGATCTTTATACTCTTATCAAGCTATCTGGCTTGAAACCTTGTGTATGGTAGGAGATTTTCCCAAAAGAAAAGTAACATTTAGTTAGGTTAGGTGTCAAGTTGCTAGCTTACACTATATAAAAGTCAATATGTACCAAGTCATATTAGTGAATTTCATCTACACTGCTAGGAGGTTGTTGAACTCAATTATAGAAATGTGCAGAGCTCTATTTGATGTGTGAGGAGGTTAGGAGACCACAATCAATTAAAAAGAACACATGTATATCCTGTTCTGGAAAACAGTTGTTTTGGTATCCCTTGTTCTGCTTCTGCTTTTTTTTTCCTCTGAGTTTTCCTCTGAACACAAGAGAACAAATAGTTTAATAATTCCCTAGTTTCATTTGGAATTGTTTTGTCAGCAATATCTAGTAAGAAGTCATGCGTTTATGTTTTATTTGAATGAAGCCTCAGGCTACTACAATTAAACATGCTGTTTTGTTTTTTTTTTTGTAGCAAAATCATTTGAAAATGGACAATATTTGGACATTTATGGAATTACAAGGGACCAGGCTGGGGAATATGAATGCAGTGCAGAAAATGATGTGTCGTTCTCAGATGTGAAAAAAGTAAAAGTTGTCGTAAACTGTAAGTCTCATCACCATTTATCAAGATAACTTCTGATAAAATATTAAATACTGTGGAAAAATATTGTCTGAAATTGCTGCTGCTATTTTTTTAAAAGGTGGTCTATTGGTAACTATCACCTGCTGACAGTGAAAAAGTATACCTGTTGGAATATTGATCAGATTGTTCTGTGTAACATCAGCTGTCCCAGCCAGTCCCCCAGAATTATATCTTTTCCAAAAAATAATTGTTTTTTATTGTTTTTTTTTTTTGGTTCTTTTTAGTTATACATGATAGTAGAACCAATTTTGCTATAATTATACAAGCATGGGCTATATCTCATTCTAGTCAGGACCCATTCTTATGGATGTACGTCCAGCATTCGATCTTATGAGCAAATTGAAATGTTTCTAATATCATCCTAGTCCCCAGCATCCTAACAGCACCTTCTCTTTCCTCCCTCATGGGTTTCTTCTGGCAGACACAAGAAGAAGTTTAAGTGTGTAGCTCTATTCAGACTTGATGAAGCCAAAGTATGATAGTCTCCACTTATAGAGAAGACCTGTGCCGTGATGCTCATACTACTTGGACAGTTTAATTGTATTAACTTGGAAATTTTTGAAAAAAAATAAGAAAGATGTTTTCCATTGTTTTAGTCAGTTTTTTTGCTGCTGTGACTAAAGCCCTTACCAGAAAACTTGTAGAGGGGGAACAGTTTATTTGGGGGCTCATATTCAGAGGTGTCTGTCCATAGATAGCTGGCTTCGTTCCTCAAGGCTCCTGATGAGGCAAAACAACATGGCAAAAGAGTATGGAAGAGGGAGACAGCTTAGATAATGATCAGAAAGTAGAGAGAGAGAGACTATACTCACCAGATACAAACTCTATATCCCAGTGCCATGCCCCCAATTCCCAGCTCCTCCAGCCACACACTACCCACCTACAGTTACCACTCAGTTAATCCCTATCAGGGATTATTTAGGGATTAACTCACTGATTGAGTTAAGACTCACAACTCAATTATTTTCCTCTGAATTTCTTGCATTATGTCACACATGAGCTTTAGGCAGACACCTAATATGTAAGCAATAACACCATGAACATCATTATTAGAAAGTTAGAATATAAGTCAGATACTTGCAGAACCATCAATGTTATTAAATCACACCCTTTGTCTAAATGCCTCCAAAACACTGAAATAAGACAATTTTCTAATAACATCCTATTGCAAATATTATTGTCTCAATAGTAATGACTAAAGTTGAATTTAATGCCCCTTAGTCTTTCTTTAAAAAACGTTCACATCCTTTAACTTTTTTCATATAAAACACCTTTAGGATAAGAATGCTTTACCAGAAGTATATACAACCTGCATCTTACTTTTTAAATTCCATTTACACATCTTTCTACATATGACCCTTGGTAATAATTGCACATTGTGTAATGCCACAGATCAGAGGAATTGTTCCAAATATATCCAGGAATGCTAACACTAATCACTAGCTATTTCATATTAATATACATTTTTCAGTCTCATGAGCCAAAAAATAACTTTCAGAACATGCCTAGCAGTTGAGTTGTCTGCCAGATCAAATCACTGTCATCAACTAGCATTTTTAAGTGACTAATGTATACACTAGGGGTTGAACTGTCTCTATTAAACCAAGAAAATGTGCATGATACCATATCAGGAAGCAGTTTTTGGAGCAAGATTTTTCAGAGTGCTCCACAAACAAACCATGGTAGAATCACCAGAGAAGCTTATTATGAATGTGAACATAAACCCTGTTGAATCAGAATCCTTGGAGTATATGGCCTAGATTTCTGCATTTTGACAAGTTCCCATTGATTCTCAGGACTCTTGTTACAGAGGGCTAGTTCTCATACCTCTGGAACTCTCTGAAATAAGAGGTAACAAATAAGAAAAAACTACCAACCATTTTATTAATGACATACTTACCTGAATATATGTGAAGTGATTTTATTATTGAAGGGTTGGAAAAAGAGAAAAATGATAATAATTAAGGAGTAATTCTTTTTAGCAGTGACTACTAAGAAATGGAAAAGTAGAGTTAAACTTGACAAATAAGCCAGGCACACAGCCCAGCAACCCAGCTTGCCTAAAGTCTCAGATCTAAAAAATATGCCTTTGGTAGGGATAGCATTGAAAACCCACCTGCTATGTGGATTTGCATGGGCCCATACTCCATACATAATCTCCATTTTCCTTTCTTTCATATGTTCTTTTTTTTCTCTAACTTTAGTTTATTGTTATTTAAAATTTAATCTGATTTACAGTTTTCCCAAATGGCTGAGGACTTTAGACTTTGGAAGATTAAGTTAAGGCAGTAGAAACATGGAGAGAAACTAAACAGAAAGAAAGACACATCAACCCAATTAAGTTGTTCTATAAAGGGTATGGATAGAGAAGAGAATCCATCCCATAAACCAAAAAGACAGAAACTGGAAGAATAAGATATCAAGAACTACAAGAGTTCTGCTAGTTTCATGGATGCTGGCAGAAGACAGACACAAAGGTCAGGTTAGTGCTCTGAGCAATAGTCATAACCAGAGTATTGTCATTTTCTAGCATTAGTTTCTCAAGCTCCAATGACTATAGGGTGTTATGATGAGGACTAGCTGACTCCTATACATATCTTACATAGTAGCTATGCCACAGCTGAAGCTGGGACACTCAGTTTCTTTATAACGGCAATGAGAAAACCTGCCCTTCGCCACAGAGGGAGACATTACATTTATTATAGTGGACCATAACCAAACCTGTCCTATGATTCAAAGGGAGAACTACTTCTACCATCTAAGATTGTAAAAAAGAATCAAAAACAAATCTCTCAGTGTCTCTGCATGAGAAATTCTCAGAAGTATCAGAGTCCCTTGAAGAACTATCTTCCTGCACAAGATGGAGCAGGAGAGTTTGGAGCAAAATTCCTTCACCTGAAGAAAGTACTTGAATTCTTTTTTTTTATGATGCCAGAGAACTTAGAATAAGTGTAGAAGATTCTGTGAATCACTCTATCATAGGAGGATAACAGGAAGATAAAGGTAAAAGTGGGAGAAAATGGAAGGGAAGTACTTCTTTCCCCATATTTTTTATTGGTGCATTATAGTTGCACATAATGCTGAGATTCATTGTTACATATTCATACATGCATATAATATGACAATATAATTTGGGCAATATCATTTCCCAGTATTTCCCCTTTCCCTCCTCTCTCCCTCCCCCTGGTCCCCTTTATTCTGCTGATTTGTTAGGGAAGTACTTTCTAAGTCATTACATGGACTACCTTTTTAAATATTTCATTTCAGGTAGGTAAAGTAGAGTCATAAATGGAATGTTGCTGCAGATATGACATTAATTTCTCTCTCATTAAATAATGGATCCAACATAAATTTTAAGTAATTTTAAATAGTTTTGTCTTTTGCCTCTCCTTGAATCATACTCTGAAAGCTTTTTATGAATGTTCCATGAAGTAGTGTTTCATAATGATTGTGCTTATTTGTCTTGTGTTTAATATTACTTGTGTTCTATAATACTGATGTCACACATATACAAGTGATAGCTAAGGTGCATAAGTGTGTGTATGAACAGTGCACTAGTATTCCTGTTTGTGATAAAGTTCACAGAGTTTTAATTTGTGAAAACTGTCCCTTGAAAAGGCAAAGATTGAGAGATACTTATGTATTTTACCAAGTTGATTTCCCAAAGGAAATTAGCCAAAACCAAACTTTAGTCCACCAAAGTTCAGAATTGAGGTCAGCATTCTCTGTTGCTAGCATGAAACCGCACATCACCTGATAACCTGCAGACTCCCTGAGGATGGTGTCATGCCAGGATCAAGGCAGGTCTTCATTTTATTGCTCTTAATCAATATTGATTGTACATATGGAACTGAAATAGCTTTGTGAGTTATAATTTGAAGAGAAACTCTATTCTTTTTTCCAAAATAGAGTTCAAGATTAAATTTAATAAATTTTCATAAGCTCTAGTATATTCAGTCATGTATTAAGTCAATTTGAGAAAGAGATTTAGGCCCCCTGTAAGTTTCAAATGTTTACTGTTTTATAGTTTGTCTAATACATATGCCATGTACAGTATATATAAAAAAAACACGTGTATAATAAATAAGAGCCTATTTGAAAAAAAATTGTGTGTATACAACTTTAATACAGATTTCCATTCAATTTAGCCAAATAGATTCATGAGATGATTAATATAATTGACTTACAGAAATTGGGCTGGTTTGCTGATTGAATAAATCAGTTCCTTTTGAGTTATTCAAACAAAGACTTACTATTAGAGAAGAAAAGTTGTGAACCACTAAATTTAGGGTGTGGGATTATTTCTGAATAAGGTGACTGTAGGTAATTATTCTCCTTGTATATAACTATATTTACTTTATTTATGTGTATGTGTTTCTTATTAAATTGAAAACAAACTAAAATAATAAAAAAGTCACATAGGTTATCATTACTAGATCTTGGGAGGCTAAAACACATGTGCCACACACACACACATACACACACACACAGGAGACACAGAGAGATAGACAGATCGACAGAAATTTGGAGCAGTTAAGAAGCCAGCGAATTTAGTTTTGGACATATTCCCCACCTTATTTGAACTTGTGTTGTTTCTCTAGCCATAACTTTGTGCCCACAATTTTTATTGTCAATTACAAAATAGAAGAATGAATAAGTCTCAAAAAACCCATGGACTTAACTGAATGAGGGAAAACAGGAACCCCTGAAGACCGAAGGTCTAGTAACGAAAGGAGAGATCAGAGTCTAGGAAACCAGCAAATCTAACTCATTGTAGGTCAAATCATCATACAATTGTAGATCCATGCAGAAAAGCAGAATCCCAGGTCTTAGAAATCAGCAAAGCCTGGAAGATTCAATTCTTTCTGTTCTGTCTGTGGTCTTGTGACAGAGCCTTTTTTCTCTACTCTCTTATGTATTCTTGTGAGGAAATGCTGTTTTTCAGAAATGTGGTCCTTGTA